GAAATCATCAACAGAAATGTCCGTTTACCAGAGCTGCCATAGCGATGGCCACTTTTGTTTTCCGATAGGAGACTCAGGTGGTGTACCGGGTTAGGTACCCAAAGGAAACATTGCTATTTTTTGAAATTAATTATTTAACTAACTGTTTTTCAGCTACCCAATGTATTGGAGACCTTGAATTACCCCTGTTGGCAAATGGGTAACCGCGGAAAATTCTTCAGTCAGAAACTGAAAACAAAAACTCATTCTCCTTTGGTGTGAGGTTTTTTTGTTTGTTGTTTTTCTGTTTGTTTTGTTTTGTTTTGTTTTGGTGTTGTACAGACCAAAGGCTGTGGATTAAATGCAATAGTTAGGAGGTTTTTTTGTTTGTTGTTTTTTTGTTTGTTTTGTTTTGTTTTGTTTTGGTGTTGTACAGACCAAAGGCTGTGGATTAAATGCAATCCTCAAAGATTTAAGGAATTTGGGTCCAATTTCGAACTCCTCCACTACCTCTGGCTTGACCTCAGATCAATTCCTTAATCTTTAGGCTTCTTTTGCCATCTGTGCGCGATGCCTCTGGCAACACAATGAATGCAGTAGCTGTAGGAATAAATTAAATAATGAGCTTAATATCACCACTGAGAATGGAGTAAATTGCTCTTTTGTGGGATCCATTAGCTCAACTGAGAATATTAGCACAGAATTCTGGGTCTGTGATGGACTATAAGGAATGAGGTAGCATCAATTTTAATGTCTTGCTTTGCCCCTGACTCATTCTAAACAACAGATAAAGAATGCAGGGGAAGAAAGAGAAAAGCAGGGACACAGCAGAGGGCTTGGTAAGTCAGAAGAGGAGCTAAAAGGTGAAGGGATGGAGGACTCTACGAGAAGATGGAAGGTATGAGCAGAGATGTGCAGAAAAGAGAAGATGGGAGTGGCAGGGAGGAAAACAAGATTACTGAGAGGAAGAGCAAGGGTTTGAAATGAAGATTCTAACCAGTCAGTAGTTTGTTGGGATCAAATGGGAGGTATGGAGAAGGGGGCAGAGCAGAGGGGGCTGGCGGGGTATATTCCAGAAAGAGGGTTTGCTAGGAGTGGCCCCCTCATCCTTTCCACATTCCTGGTACTCCCCCTCTTCGACCCTAGGCTTCTGACTCCAGAAATTAGTTTAACAGCTTAGGGTATTAAACTTTCAAAACTATAAGAAATTTTAAGATTCTTGAGGTAACAGGTCTTAAAGACCCAAGAAGTTAACTAAATGTTAGTCTATTGGGGGATAGGATCCTTACTCAGTGCTCCTCAAATCAAATAATTAAGTGCAGTCACATAGGACAGGAGACAATGGGCAAACAATAAAAGGAATAAAAGAGAAAAAAGATGATTTTATGATTATCTCAGTGATATCTGTTTACTCCTCATAGTCCCCTAAGTTTTACCCACTAAGGATAACAGGATTTTATAACCACCTCGCCTAGCCCGAAAGCAAGCTCATATATCTACTTTGATTTAGAAATGGTAGTAGAAATTGTAATAATGATAATATTCCCAGCTAGTATTTATTGCTTACTTTGTATTAGGCACATACGTTCTTCCAAAAAGGATTTGAGGTAGTTTACAATAAAAGACAAGCTGTAAGAGCGGAGGAAAAACTATACATACACACCTTGGCTGAGAAAAACTACAGCAAGTTTAACACAGCAGTAAGTGGTTTTACAGAAATTAACCCCTTTGTTCTCTCCATCACCCTATAAAGTCAGTACATTTAAAACCCCTTTTTATGGAGAAGGATACTGGGAAAACCAAGATTTGATATGTCCTTGGCTTGCCTTCAAAGGCCAGTATTAAACAAACAAACAAAAAGCAGCTCTGTAGGAGTCTCGCTACTTCCTTTCAACAACAGCAATTTCAAAGCTGTTCATCAGAAAAAGTATATTAGTTGTGCCTGCCACAAAAGATGGTCCAGACAGTTGTACAGTGTCTCTCTTAATTTAGATTTCTGAATATTTCTCACTTAAAGATCCTATGACACATTCCCCTCAGAGTTTGGGCCAGGAAATACTTTCTCCTAAGTAAACTGTATGATTCCTTCCACTTGGCAATGAAAATTATGAAAATCTTCATTTTCCCTATTTCGCTTGGCTATGAGGAAGCTTGGAACTAAGTTTTGTGCTCAAACGCTATTGTTAGTCTCAGCCAGAATTTTCTTGACTTTTTAAAAAAATATTTGTCTTTCATTGCAAACCACCTTAAGTCTCTGGAAGAAAGCATGGTATAAACAAACAAACAAACAAACAAAATACAGTCCTGTTGGGGCCCTGCTAGGGATGTAATAATTTACCAAAATATTTTACATAACACCCCTGAAATCCTTTTATTTGAGAGTATTCTAAACAATCCTGAGCAGATACTATCGTTCATGGTGTTTTCGCATTTTTTATGCCCCTCAAATAGCATTCCAAACCACTTTGGGTAAAGAACATAACATCTAGAGAAAATTAGCTGATTGCTCTCATATGTCTTCTTGTTACAGGGATCTAATTAAAAGTTTTGAATCGTGTCCAAAACTGTGCTCTAAAATAAACCAATTTAAATTTAGATTTATCAGTCAGGCTTAAAATGAAAAATAGTTTCACTCATTTCAATGAGTCACTGGTTAATAACTATGCTCAATTTGTATGTTTTTATTTGATTCCAAAATTTCTTCCAGGAACAAAGCCATATCTTGTTCCATTGATTGATAAGACACCATATTACATCTTCTATCAGCCATCCCTAGAAGCCTGCTAAAGAGCCAATTTAATAGCAAAACTCCATTATCTCACATTTGCTGCTTTTGTGAATGACCCATCTTCTCCAAAAACAAAGCTTTTCATTTCCAGAACTTTCATTATAGGTGCGATTTCTTCTGCTCTACCCACTTCATTTTAGTAATTTAGCAACTTGACTATACTGACTCCATTTTATTTCTTCACTTTACTCCTCAGAATTCTTTAGTTTTGGTGTTCATGGATAGAATTGGGCATCAGGTCACACTGGTAGGGACCGTTGCTTACCGTGAAACATTTTCATCTACGAAGCCCAATATACTGGCAGGTGTTTTGTTCCCCCATTTTAGTTACATTATCAACAAGGAAATGTTATTTCAGAAAATAAGCTTCATTTTGCCAATTTAGAAATTGCTTTGTAATTTTATCCAAAGGTCTCTAGAAAACACGTTGGCCTTAGAGCTAGTGCATCAAATAAATCACAAATGAAACACGCTGGTTTCTTATCAAAGGTATATCTGCAGAGCCCTGTGACTCTGCGTGCCAGGGGCTCTGTCTGGCACATTTCTGAACTTTGCGAAATTAATTGTGCCGAAGAGAACATCATCAAACGCGTCCGGCATAGAGCGTAAACATCTTCAAACCATGATTCTGTGCCATCAAACGCTCTCCAGCTAATTTCATTTGGTGCATTACTCTGGAAGAAAATCGAGGCCAAGTGAAACTGCGGAAATGGGAACAATGCAGGGAGGAAAAATCTCACCCCATTAAGGGAGCCGTTTCTTCCCCGCACAAATAAGTCCACCACGCCTTGGAGGCACGACTATAAGACTCCAGGATATTCTTGAGTGCCCCGCGGGCCCTCTGGGACTGCGGGAGCTCTGCACGGGGGAGGAGGAAGGTGGCCTAAGCGGCAGCGCCCCAGCCCTAGGGGCATTTTAGGTAACTCATAAAACCTAAGTAATCGTCCCCCCACCTCCCAGCCCACTCCGAGTCGCAGAAGCTGTTTATCGTGTGTATTTACAGAGGAAGCTGAAAAATGGCCCCACGTTTTCCTCTCGTCTATGCACTGTGTTTGCAAAGCGCATGGACAGCGTTTTGGGAGCTGTTCTCCTTCCCGCAGGGCCGCTGCACACTAGGCCCGCGTTGCGCGAGGGTCTGCACGGGCTCCGCTGCTTCGCTTTCCCTGGCTCTTCCATGACCTTCCGAGAACGGCCTCGGGACGGGACTTGCCGCCGAAACACCGCTCAGCGCGCGGGCGTCGCGCGCGGCCGCTCGCCTCCGACTCC